CATTAAAATTAAACGCTTTAGCACTTCATTAATGTGGACCAAATGAGGTGAAGGTGATTAAGTCACAACATGATCTCCAAGCACAGGCCAGATACCTTGTCTTGTCCAAAATCCATGCCTGTTGTGGAGAAGCACCAGCCTGGCCACCTCACAGGGAAATGTTTTCATTAGCTTGCTATATGACTTGTAGAGATGAATGCCATGAATCTAGCCAGGATCCATGTCATAAAGACTATAGGTTTAAGAAAATGCTTTAGTGTGGTATCCAGTAATTGACAAGCATATGATAGGGGCTCAGGAATTCTAAAACTAATGGTTGCTTTTATATACTGAACACTTGTAGTTTTGAGTATTGTTCTAAGGTTTACATTTGTTCTTTTATTTTTTAATTTTGTGCAGAAAAACTGGGGTATAGGCCAGAGGTGTTTGTGTGGAGGGGGTGAGCACTCACCAGAGACAGAGTGGGGAGTGGAACAGGCAGATCTACCACAATACACTGCTGAGGGGTGCAGGCATGAGGTGATCATATTAACCAATACAGCTAGTTCACGGCAGAGTTAGTATTTAAGCCAGGAAGCCTGGCTTTAGAACCTGTGCATTTAAAAAAAATATATATTTTTTACATCATTTTTCATTGTGGATATAGTCCCTGTGAAATTCCCACCACCCTTGTTTTGATCCTACTCCCTTCTCCCCCACTGTAGTGTGTCTCTGGTTTATAGCTGCCTGATTTTGATTTTCACTTTATTATAATTAGTCTTTCTTCTGATCCCTTAAATGGGTTTTCTAAATTCCTGCTATGAGTGAGACCATCCGGTATTTTTCTTTTATTCTTTCTTTTTTTTTTTTTTTAAAGATTTATTTATTTATGCATACAAGAACTGGGGTATATGCCAGAGATGTGGAGGGTGAGAGGATTCACCAGTGACAGAGTGGGGAATAGAACAGGCAGACTGACTTATATACACTGCTGAGGGGAGCAGCGGGCGAGACAGGAGAGGTCTGCTGTGTAATGTGGGTTGCTCCCTGGCCAGCCAGGCATCAAACTCATGCTGCAGAGGATTGCTTCATAGTGTGGCGCTTAACACCTTGCGCCACCAGGGAGGCTCTATTTTTCTTTTTCTTTCTGGCTTATTTCATTTTCTGGCTTATTTCATTCATTTTGCTGCAAATGACATGAGTTTATCTTTTTTTGATTGCTGAGTAATATTCCATTGTGTATATGTACTACATCTTCTTGATCCAGTCATCTATTTTTGGGCATTTGGGTTGTTTCCATAGCTTAGCTATTATAAATAGTGCTGCAATAAATATGGGGGTGCGGGTGTCCTTTTGAATTAATGTTTTTGTGTCCTTTGTGTAGATACCTAGGAGTAGAATTGCTGGATCATACGGAAGCTCCATTTTTAGCAGATGTAGGAACCTCTACACACTTTTCCATAGAGGTTAGACCAGATTGCACTCCCACCAGGAGTGCAGGAGAGTTCTTTTTTTGCCACATCCTCACCGACATTTGTTGTTGCTAGTTTTTTAAATATGTGCCATTCTCACTGATGTAAGATGGTATCTCATTGTAGTTTTGATTTGCATTTCCCTGATTACAAATGATGTTGAACATTTTTTGTATGCCTGTTGGCCATTTGCATTTCCTCTTTGGAGAAGTTTCTTTTTAGCTCTTCTGCCCATTTTTTGACTGGGTTATTTACTTTGTTTTTGTTGAGTCTCGTCAGCTCTTTGTAGATTTTTGTGATCAGTCCTTTATCATAGTATTGTGTGCAAAAATTTTCTCCCAATCAGTGGGGTGGCTCTTTGTTTTGGTAGAAATGTTATAGAGCAACCCCAATATTAAACGGGTTCCTGGCTGTGGGTCCTCACCCGCGCGCTTTAAAGGGACTTATGAATACTCTACTACAGACACACGCAAAAGGGTTAATAAAAGGTTTATTTACAAGAGAAAAAGAAATAAGGAAAATGTACAACTCAGGGAGAAAATAGGGAAATAAAGTCTTTAATGCGTCCTACCCGATCCGACGACCTGGAAACCCAAAGTCACTCTCAGAGCTGACCGGACGCTCCGAGCTGGCTGAGAGCCCAAAAAATGGAGAGAGCCCCCAAAGCCCACGTGTCTGCCTTTTGTATCCACCTGGCTGCTTAACCCCACCCTCAGGTCCCAGCCACCTTCCCTTTGGTGGTGATGGGATTTGGAGTTCCCAGTGTCTTTGGCTTTGACCTGGGGTGGGGGTGGAGTCCACAAAGCCTATATGGAATTTGCTTTGGGACATCCTTTTTCCCCCTAACAGAAACTGTGCATTTAACACCTCACGCATACCTTTAAATTGTCATGATACTGGCCAGGAAGACAAAGACAGCATATTGTTAGAAAAGGCCTATACTGTTTCTGTGAACTCTGCCTTCATCTGTAGAAGGGAAGCCTTATGTTGAAAAAGAATTAAGAAGGGTTTAATGGTATTGTGGCCATATGCTCATCAACCAATCTGGGACACTTTCAGTAGTAAAAAGGGGTGCTATTAATAACTTCACCTGGAAAACAAGTATAAAATTAGATTGCTCTAGGCAAACTGGACCTGTGACTATTTTGCTACCTACAATATATGCTTTAACTTCAAAAACCTGCAGATACTGGTGAAACTGCCTATGACTGTACATATATCAATGTGTGCATATTACTGTAAATGGTTGTTTTCTCCAGACCATGTGCCTGTGTTTTATGGGCAGTTCAAAGGATTTTCAAAAAAATAATCTTGATTATGTTTATACACTGATTATGGAATTTAACAGTCACAAAATGCAACCAGTCCATATACTGGTTAAGTGTATTCAAACAAGTTCTCTGATCGAGCAGGCTAGCCAACCTGTAGAAAATTATTTTTGAGAGACTCTATACAAATGGACTACTTTGACTTCCCATAACAAATAGCATGAATTTCAAATGAGGTTTGAACAGTGTTTTTAAACTCTTACATGATTAATAGATCTTTTACATAAGTGTATCCCTTCTCTAAGCTGGTTGAGCTCCTATGTGCCAGCCACTTTGTCACATGTTGGAGATACAGTGGAAACAAGTTGGTGTTAGAAACCAGTGTCTGCCCACACTGTGTGCTCATTGCTACTTCTGTGTTCTACCTTCCAGGTCCCCTTCATCTGAGCAAGCAAAGACAGATATGTTTCTAGACTAACTTGCTTTAATTTGCAATTTCCCAGAGACAAATATTGAGCATCTTTGCATGCATTCATTTGCCATCTTTATATTCTCTTTGATGAAGTGACTGTTCAGATAGGTCATTTTCTTATTGTTGAGTTTTAAGACATTTTAAAATATACATGTATGTTGGATGCAAGTCCTTCTGGGAGAAAGTGTTCTTTTAACAAAGTCTGTCATAGAGCACAAGTTTTTAGATTTAGTAAACCCTAACTTATTAAGTAATGTTTATCTCATAGATTGGGCTTTTGGTGTTATATCACCAAGTTCAAGGTCACATAGATTTTTCTCCCTTATTTCTTTCTAGAAATTTTATACTCTTGCACTTTACATTTAGGTTTAGGATCCATCTTGAGTTAATTTTTGTGAAAGGTATACCTTTTGTGAAAGGTATCTGGGCTCATTTTTGCACGATTGTTGAATTGTTCACTATTTTTGAAAAGACCACCCTTTCTTCATTAAATTGCTTTTGTACCTTTTTAAAAGATCATTGACTGTATTTCTGTGGGTTATACTCTGGACTCTCTAGTCTGGTCCATTGATTCATATGCCTACATGTTTACTAATATCATGCTATCTTGATTACTATAGCTTTATAGTAGGTTGTGAAAATTAGTTAAAGTGAGTCTTGCAACTTTGTTCTTCAGTATTGCAATTGCTATTCAAGGCCCTTTTTTCTTTCCATATGAAGTTTAGAATTAGCGTGTCAATAGCTTGCTGGCAATACTGTCATTTTATTTTCTATAGTCCTGTCTCAGGAAAGTAGGAAAAATTTTCCAAATATGGAAATATATTAAATAGGCATTTAGTTATAATTGGTGAACTTTATTATTAGTAATTGCTGTAAATTAAAATTCAATTTCTTGTAACAGTGATAGGATGAATACATTCTATTTTTATATCAAACAAATAAATGCTACATTCTCATGGTTAAGGTTTCCATAACCTGGCAACCCCTGCAAAAGTTTCTCGCAAACACAAATTTTCTTTTTTAAAAAGAAAGCACATTTACCTCAATCTGTGTTTGTTAAATATTTTTAATATTTTTAAGGTACCTACTTTATAACTCTCCTCCACTTATCTTTATTTTCATGATATAAATGTTATGTGTTTTGCATTCTCAAAGCACTTGTTAAATATTCTTCATGGAACTTGCAAGTTTTATATTTGGGAGATACAAACTTAACAGCAAAATCACACAAATGTGTAATTGCACACTGCAATGAAACTGGCTGGATAAAGATGAGTAAATAATGAGAGGAAAAATGTGTAAAAATGAACAGTTTGAATAAGCAGGTATAAATCACGAAGTGCAATGCAAGACACATCACTTTTTCACATATTTAAAATGAAAACCATTAACGCAAAACATGAAATCTTCAAATCTTGCCCTTGCTGCTAGCTTGCAATGCCCTTCTGCCCAGCTCTCTCCAACCTGTTCCTGCCTGGCAGGAAAACTGGCGAAAAAAGGTACTTTGGTGGGCAAGTTTCGAGAGGTACAAACTTAACCTCTGTGAGCTTCTAACTTTCTTCGGTGGTAATAAGAGGAACTAGATGAGCAAGGCATTACTATCATGCAAAGTTCGTAATAAATATACATTAATCCCGCTCAGGACAATCCAAGAAGGATGGCAAATCCTTGATGATCACTGAAGCAGAGCTGGCGCCGTCAGGAAACTCACCAGCGAGGCCCGGATTTGCGCATGCGCGTCTGGAGAAGAGACGCTTTCTTCCCCGAAGTCGGAAGTCCGGGTTTGTTTATTCAGTTACGGCCGTCGTAAATGAAGCTTCGCGACGCCGTCGTAGCTTTACGACCACAACAACTATGGCGGCTGCCAGTGGTAGATTTGAAAGTGCGAGGAGTATCGAAGAACGTAAAGAACAGACTCGGATTGCCAGGGCGGAGGTGCTAAGCCAGGTACCTCCGTTTTTGGACTTTTGGAGCTTTTTAGAATTGCGGGAGCGGAGGATTCCTGGGAGGTTGGCCTCTGGCTGTCCTCCCTTCCGCCCCCGCCCTTCACCACCTCAGTACCTCACCTCACCTGGGTTGTCCGCACAGTTTGGTATCACCCGTCTTCCAGATACTCGGGCTTGCTGCTCATTCTCTTTTGAGGAAGTCTTGGTTTCTTTCTTCTGAGTTATCGTTTAAAAATCCAACCTAGATCTTTCTGTTGCTTGATCTGAGCATTTCGATGGACCCCGACGCTAATGACTGACCAAACGTATTTCACAGCCTCGGTCTTGGTTTCTTTTGTGTCTGAAACGAAGGTTTCACACACGTAGAGTTCATGAAAGTAGTCTGTGTCTGTCTGTTTCATTCTCCTGTCTTACTATTGGTGTAGATTCCAGGCTTATTGTGAACCACTACTGATCCAAAACAAGGGATGTCACAGAGACACAGAAAATTTAACCTCTCGAAAACGGTTAAGAAACACTGTATTTCTCCTTAAGATTGGGATAGGAGGTAATTTACAAGGAATGCTGGAAGTAAATGTGTTGAATTATCTGACAAGATGAAAGAAGCATGGCAGTAAAGGGAAAAGCTTTAGTTGGAGAGAAACATAGGGTACAAGTAAGGTAATATATTTTATTTGTTTTTAACCTGGAAGAGCTTTAAACGAGTTTAAATGCAAATGAGGAGCCAGTGGAGGAGAGAGGGAAAAGGAATGACTACAACCAGATTTTAAAGGAGCAAGAATGGGTGATTAGGCTTGGACAGAAGAAAGACTGACATTCTTTTCTAATTACAGCCCAAGTAACATAGATGTTTTAATAGGTGTTTTTTGTCCTTGTCTTTTTGGTACTTCAGGCATAGGTTACTTTGGTACTTTGGATAGGTTAGGCTTTGTAAGCTGTGATAAATTTTACAGTAGAAGTATGCATCGAGTTTAAGAAGTGCCAAACCTTTGGAGTTTGGGGACAAAATGAAAGGAACAACCTCCTGGGGACAACTCACTTTATTTTGCTGTTGTTGAAGGATTAATAAAAATAGCAACAATATGATCATTTCACTTCAGTTCACTGGAGATTGGTAATGTGATGTGAAGTTGAATAAAGGAAATCTGATTCATAATATAATCAGGAAGCTGTGAAGGGAAGGATCTCATACATCTGCCCCCATTGCAGCTTACAAGAAGCCTGGGTACATTACAACAAGCCTCCTTGCCCAGCAATCCACCACTTACAGTTAATGAGAAACTCTACAACCTTGAGCTCTCAGTGAACTTTCATTCAAAAATCACCCTTTCTAGTGTCCTCCTAAAACCTATTAAAAGCTAACTTTCCCTTTGCTTCCACAAACTTGCTTATGGTTCACCATGGTTTGCTCAGGTTATACTTTCCCTGCTATTTTTGAATAAATTCAAGTTGACTAGCTAGGGATCCTATTATTTCATTTCAAGGTTGACAACCACTGGTAATGTGAAAGGAGAAGGTTTATTTATCCTTTCTTTGTCTGATCCTTTTGCATACATGACTGTCACTTTCCTGAGGTCATTCCTGTTTTAGGATCTCTTGCAACAAGCACTATTTTTACTCCAGAAAATTGCATGCCTGCACTTACTGCCAGTTTGAAGGACAAGTGCTCCCAGAGGATTTACTACAGGGTTTTTATTTTTTATTGTTTTAAATCTTTCCTATAATTTAAGAAAAGCAAATTCCTGACAAGGGACACAATATTGATTTGTGAGACTTATATGACAGTGGGAGAAGTTTTTGTTTTACTTCTATGTGAAGAGCATCTGGATCAGTTTTCAGTTTTTCATTTTTCATTGTTTTAGGCCAAAGCCAAATTTGAAAAGGAAGAAAGGCGTAAAGAACTTAAACGACTTCGGGGTGAGGATACATGGATGCTACCTGATGTGAATGAGCGTATTGAACAGTTCTCACAGGTGAATACTAACAGGTCTACTTGATGTAAACAGAAACTTAAAAAATTCAAAAACTTAAAAAAATTTTAATTCCTGTTTTCCTTAATTTTAATTTTGCTATCTTGTTATATTTTATATGACCTAAAATCTATAAATTCTTTTGCAGCCATGGATAGACACATACATGTATGGTTGTATACATCCTTTTGTGTATATATGTATTCATTATATTTGTCTGTCAAATTAATCCATAAATAAGGCTAAAGTTTCCCTCATATTTTTCTGATAAGTTCTCTCAGCTATATGATTTATTAGTAGTGCATATATTATAAAAGCTTGCTAAGGTTCCTTAAAAGATTTTATTTAGTTATATTCCTGGCTCATTATATGAAAGATTTAGTTTTGGAACATAGTTCTTTTTCCTTCTCCAAAACCTTCCTGTTAATGTTAGATAAAACTAAATTTCTTACCTCTTCAAAAATGAATATTTATAGGAACATTCTGTGAAGAAAAAGAAGAAAAAGGACAAGCATTCAAAAAAGGCAAAGAAAGAGAAGAAAAAGAAGAGCAAAAAACAGAAGTATGAAAAAAGCAATGAGTCAAGTGATAGTTCATCAGTAAGTATGTACTAAAACTAACCAAAGCAGCTACTTGAGAAAAGTGTATACATAGAACTTATGTTTGGGAACTCAAATACATGAGAACTTAAAAAATATTACTAATTAGAATTTGAAAATGCCTGGGTGATATCTGTTTGTATATGTGCTGCCGAAGCGAGCACTGGGTGATATCTGTTTGGAGATGTTCAGGAAATATTGGAAATACTAGTTACAGAGAACGATAAGAAGATATGATTTGGGAATCATTGCTTATTGAAGCCATAGAATGGATGGGAAACTGAAAAGACAGCACCAACACTGAGAAACCTGCAGGAAATAAAGGAAGTTAAGTAGAAATGGCTAGAAAAGTAAGAGTAGCAGGAAAAAGCAGTACTGTGAAAGTAAAGGAAAAGAGTTGAAGACATTTGAGAGTCTTTTACCCCTGTTTATTTTGTAATAGAAATAATGTTTTAAGTTTTTAAAATAGGATATATTTATTTATCATTTGGCCTAAAGGAAGAGAATGCTAGGTTGGTTCTGGTTCTGGCCAGTTCTGGAATGAGAGGATTTGTGGAGGTGAGGGACACAGGCCAAACCCTTCATGTTTGTTCTCTGAAGGAAAGAGGCACACTGTTCTTAGAGACTGATGAGTTCAGATGTTTAGGTTCAGTTGGTCTCCTCGGTATGTTCTTCAGAAGGTTATGCTCTATATTGAATCACTGTATTTCAAAGTCTGGCCCTTTTGTAGTTTGACAAACTAAAATTTTGGTTAGGATACTCTGAGACGATATTGACTCATGAAAGTCTTATATGAGAATGCAGTATATTAATTGATAATCAAAAATACAACTGGATAGATTTGTAGAACAATTAGCATATTTTGTAATGGTAGGGATATTTAAGCTTTGCAGAAAGAATTTTTTTGGCTTGTGACTCAGGGAAAAGGGACTTAGAAAATCTTAAAATGAAAAGAAGATAGAAGCACTGTGTCCACAGTTACGGGTTTAGGTGACTGACCCACTGAGAATCTGATAAAAGTAAGTGATCCTTTCTCCTAAAGTATTTATAAAACTCCTGGAGTTTATGCAGGGATCACAAATTAAGATTCCTTGTCCTGTGGGGATAGATCTGCCAGATAATGAAACATTGGTATCATTTGATTAAAGGCATTTGCTTCCTCTTATGAGAGACACATTGTGCTTTCTTTTTCTTTGTTCATACAAAGTTTTTTTGTTGCAACAAACAGTACATATGCACCTTTGTACATACCCAGTAAGATGTATAACATAAACCTTACTGAGGGTAGTCCGCATGCATGCTGGATGTCCTCATCACAATGAAGTAGACGGAAAACTGAAAGAGAAGCTAGCCTTCATTGAGAATGGAAGAAAGACAGGATGACTAGAGAGTTAGGGTTTTTTGGTGGGCTTTCGAAGGAAATGTTTGGGTTAGCAAGGTCCCAGGGGAATGGTAAGCACTGCTCCAGAGTAGGGACACCTTTTCTTCTGAGCTAGGAGGGAATTTGTAAAGGCATATGCAGATATAGATAGACAAGGAGGATAATTGGGGAGGAGAGGAGGAGATTATTGATGGTGTTTCTGTTCTCTCTTTCCTTGTGAAGGTGATATAAAATCATCACCAAGACCGAATGAAAGAATGAATGAATAAAATCTGTTCTCCATTGAGAAATAACAGCAGTTGAGATGCCAGAGCACAATGTGTTTATTCCATGTGGATTATATCTTTTATTAGACATTTGTGTTTTTTGTTTTTTTTTTTAAAGCTTTATTTATACAAGCACTGGGGTACAGGCCAGAGGCCTGGGTAAGAGAATTTACCAGGGCAGGGAACAGAACAGGCAGAAGGACCATAATACACTGCTGAGGGGAGCAGCAGGCGAGATAGGAGAGGTCTGCCGCGCCACGTGGCAATCTCCCTGGACGGCGGGAATCGAACCGGTGCTGCAAAGACTGCGGACAGCTTCATAGCGCTGCGTTCAACCCGCTGTGCCACCAGGGATGCCCCATTTGTGTTTTCTAGATAGGCAATTTTCAGGACCTTTGTGGAAGGAAAGGTCTTTTCATTTAGGAAGACTTCATTTAGGAAGCCTGCTTTTTCCCCATGGTCTCAGAATTTCTTTGCTGTGCATTAGCAGGTGTTTTGTACTACATGATTTCTAGGATCTTTCCTATACTTAAGTTGGCTACCTCCAAAGAATAGATTTTAGAGCCAGACAGATCTTGATTTCTATTTTGGCTCTCCCACTTGTTATTGGTTACTTAATTTGGGGGAGTTCTTATTTGTAAAACCAAAATACTGTTTTTTGTAGGGTTGTTTTTTGGAATCAACGTGTTAGCATTTGTGCAAGTACTTCTTACATACTTCATAGAAGAGCTGGTGGATTTGTTGAAAACAGATCCAAAGTCTGGCTTAAATGCTGATAAGCACATTGGGGATGTTGACTGACTGCTGCTTGGTTGATTTAACAATGAACATAGTAAGCCAGGTGCTTTCCCAGCTGAGTTGTTAACTGGGATCTCTGTATTTTTACAGGCAGGAAAATCTCAAAATTTGAAACCTAGTGGCAAACTTATTTGTTTGGGTAGTGTTTCTCTTGTTCTTTTTAAGCAAAGATGTGAGTAGTGCTTGACAATGGTGGAAACTGCAGCTTTGCTGATGTGAGTCCTCTCCCTACCATTTCTAATCTTTGTTTTTTGCTTTCCTTTGTCTTGATAATAAATTACTAAGAACATGGAAATAATTTGGTTGGTACTTGTGGACTTCTGCACAAGTAGTGAGTTTGTATGTCCTTTCTTTTATTTTATTTATTTATTTTTTTAATAATAAATTTTATTGTTATATTCCCATACAATTGCAGCCCCCCCATTCTGACCCAATCCCTCCCCTCCGCCCCCGCCCCCAAAAAGTGTCTCTGGTTCATAGTTTTTTGTTGATTTTGATTTTCACTTTCTTATAGTTATTCATTTTCCTGGTCCCTTATTTAAGTTTTCTAGATTCCTGCTATGAGTGAGACCATCCGGTATTTTTCTTTTTCTTTTTGGCTTATTTCGCTGAGCATGATCCCTTCCAGCGCCATCCATGTTGCTGCAAATTGCATGTGTTTATCTTTTTTGAATGCTGAGTAATATTCCATGGTATATATGTACCACATCTTCTTGATCCAGTCATCTATTTTTGGGCATTTGGGTTGTTTCCAAAGCTTAGCTATTGTAAACAGTGCTGCTATAAACATAGGGGTGCAGGTGTTCTTTGGAATTGATGTTTCTGTGTCCTTTGGGTAAATACCTAGGAGTGGAATTGCTGGATCATATGGAAGCTCTATGTTTAGTAGGTCCAGAAATCTCCACACAGCTCTCCACAGTGGTTGGACCAGTTTGCACTCCCACCAACAGTGCAGAAGAGTTCCTTTTTCTCCACACCCTCGCCAACATTTGTTGTTGCTAGTTTTTTTAATATGTGCCATTCTCACTGGTGTAAGATGGTATCTCATGGTAGTTTTGATTTGCATTTCCCTGATGGCAAGTGATGTTGAACATTTTTTCATATGCCTGTTGGCCATTTGCATTTCCTCTTCAGAGAAGTTCCTTTTTAGCTCTTCTGCCCATTTTTTGACTGGATTATTTTCTTTGTTGTTGTTGAGTCTCATCAGCTCTTTGCAGATTTTTGTGATCAGTCCTTTATCATTAGTGTTGGGTGCAAAATGTTCTCCAGTTGGTGGGGGTTTCTCTTTGTTTTTGTTATTGTCTCTTTTGCTGTGCAGAAGCTCTTTAATTTGATGTAGTCCCAGCTGTTTATCTTTGCCTTCACTATCACTGCTTTGGGTGATGTGTCTGTAAAGATGTCTTTGATGTGCAAATCACGTAGTGTTTTGCCTATATTTCCTTCTATATATTTTATGGTTTCAGGTCTTATGTCTAGTTCTTTAATCCATTTTGAGTTGATTTTTGTGTATGGTGTGAGGTAGTGGTCAAGCTTCATTCTTTTGCATGTAGCAACCCAGTTTTCCCAGCACCATTTATTGAACAAACTTTCTTTGCTCCAATGCATAGTCTTTGCTCCTTTGTCAAAGATTAGTTGACCATAAATCTGTGGGTTTATTCTGGATTTTCTATTCGATTCCATTGGTCTGTATGTCTGTTCTTGTTCCAATACCATGCAGTTTTGATGATTATGGCTTTGTAGTATAGTTTGAAGTCTGGGAGTGTGATGCCTCCATTCCCTTCTTTTTTTTTCAGGAGAGCTTTGGCTATTCGGGGTTTTTTGTGATTCCATATGAATTTCATCAATAATTGTTCTATTTCTTTGAAGAATGACATAGAAATTTTGATTGGAATAGCATTGAATCTGTATATTGCTTTTGGAAGAATGGCCATTTTAATAATGTTTATTCTTCCAATCCACGAGCAGGGGATGTCTCTCCATTTCTTTGTGTCTCTTCTATTTCTTTTAACAGTGTTTTATAGTTTTCTTTGTATAGGTCCTTTACCTCTTTGTTAGATTTATTCCCAAATATTTGATTTTTTTTTGTTTCAATAAAAGGGATGGTTTTTTTGATTTCTTCTTCTTCAGATTTATTGTTTGTGTATAGGAAGGCTACTGACTTTTGCGTGTTGATTTTGTATCCTGCCACTTTACTGAACTGATTGATGAGTTGAATTAGCTTTTCTGTGGAGTTTTTGGGGTTCTCTATGTATAATATCATATCGTCTGCAAATAGTGATAGTTTGACTTCTTCTTTTCCTATTTGGATTCCTTGGATGTCTTTCTCTTGTCTTATTGCCCTGGCTAGGACTTCCAGTATTATATTGAAAAGCAGTGGTGAGAGTGGACATCCTTGTCTTGTTCCAGATCTTAATGGAATTGCTTTCAGCTTTTCACCATTGAGAATGATACTGGCTGTTGGCTTGTCATAGATGGCCTTTATGATGTTGAGGTATGTTCCTTGTATCCCAAGAATTTCAAGGGCTTTTATCATGAATGGGTGTTGCACTTTGTCG